TATATATATATATGGTGATGATGATGGCGATGATGTTGATTGGGATGATGGTGATGATGATCATGATCATGGGGATGATGATGATATATATATATATATATATATATATATATATATATATATATATTTTATAATATGTAGATATCATTCCAAAATAAAATTTGTACGGGGTAGATATTTTCTCCTTGTAGATAAGCCAAAGTAGCAGTACAAAAGGTATTTAACATGTTAATAATATTTCTTATTTGGAAATCCGCCTAATTGAACACCTTTTGTCTCAAAGATAAGAACTTCACTGAAATTGGTTAAGATAAAATAAAGAAAGTACCCCAAATCTTTCATATATGGATAACATTAATGTTACAAAAAAAAAGTCATAACATTAGTATAAATTATGCAATTTTTTTAGTTGTGCTGCTTGCAGAATGGGACGATAATTCACCCAATCCCCCCTCCAAGAGAGGATGTGACATAAGATCTTTTTCAACGTGCGATGTCCATACACATGTATACGCGTTCGAGCCAAGGATTGAAACTTCCCAGTGACCGCGACTACTGTCACTCAGGCATTGATATTACGCCAACTCTACCTTTTTCAGTGCAATGAGGCAGCTGCTGCCGCAGGGTTGGAATTCATGGAACATGGCGCCTTCACCCATTTAAGATAAGTAAAGAACAGATATTACTTATTCATCCCAGAAGAAAAGGCTTGTGAAAGATGGGTGCGATAATTCTCTTGCTATGAGTTGTTGTTGCAAATTACTTCGTTTGTTGGACAACGTATCTAGTTTGAAAACTTCAAAAGATTCGAGTAGAATCAAACAATAAAGATAGATACACAAACAAATTGAATTGCTGTACAGTGTATTGCCTTGTGACAATTAATCGAAACAACCGCTGTAGTTTCCTTTCTTTCGCCATTCTGTCAGTTTTAAACCCACTGGAATGACAGGGTGTAATCGATTTGTATTTTTTCCTCAGACTCATTTGCATTGGTGTGCAGTAATATGAATCTATTTTCGGGGTGAACAATGAAATTTGTTTGGCCTTGAAAAATATTGTCATTCGTGAGTTCATCAGATTTTCATCATGCCCAGACACTATTGTTTCGACTGTCGATTAGTTTTCCTACGGCCATTGTCTGCGATGGACGTTACTCCAAGGAAGCGTACGAAAATTGTAATGATGCTCGAACGCAATGGCAAGCCTTACCAGTGAACAAATCAAAGTACTATAGACTGGCCCGGAAACTCCCCTGATTTATATCCAACTGAGATTCTGTGGTCAATCTGCAAGGAAAGACTTCGTAGGATGGACATACGAAGTACTAACATATGCACTGGTCATGTTTCATTGGAAATATGAAAAAAAGTAAATAATAACAGAATTATTCGTTTTGTTTAAGGGTGTACGCTTGTACTTGTAATTTTACACATCAAACTATTACGGTAATTTATATGGACACGACTTTGAGATTTTAACGGATAATATGGACCCCTTAAAAAATATGTACATTTGGATGATTGCACTAAGGTTGTATTTTTATCCCTGTTTTTAGCTTATTATACTCACATTACGTTATACACAAGAAAATACTGTACACTTTTCTGGTAAAGAAATATTAGGTGCATTTATAACATTTTCAGCATGCTTTTATTAGAATTAATTCTGTTAGACTGTCCCGTGTAGCATAGGGCCCCAAATCCAACAGCAAAATTTACTCCAGTTTCTTCAATTCAAGTAAATTTTTACAGGAGTTGCCAGCCCATGCCCAACTAACTTTAAAGACCTAGTTGCTCATTTCTCCGATAACTACGGATAGAAAACCAAATCTCTCCCGCTATTTAACCCATAGCTGGGAGAAGAAAATTAATTCTACCTTTCCATCTAAATCTGACGAACTCGGACGGTAATTGAACTTGATAAGGAGATTATACTTTCCGCTCCAATAAAAGATACTTTACGCACGGATGGTATAGTTTCCTTCTCCTCTTATGTATCGTGTTCATTCAGGACACTGGAGATTATGCCCCTCCACAATTTCCTTTCCTTTGCAGCCTTTAGCAATATTCGTTTTTTTTTTTAATATACCTCCAACTTCCTGTTCTTCCATCTCTTTACACAAGCTTGTTAGATGGCTGACTCACTGGTTCACTTTTTCCTTTCTTTCTTTCACTATGCCTCGAGAGCGTCAAATTCTCCAAGCACTTTTTCCTCATTGTGCTTATTTCTGATTTTAAGTGTTATTTTGGTTCCCTTTTCTTTAAAACTTCCCATTTGTTCACATGCCCCGTCTATTTTATTCTAAACATCCTTCTGTAGAACCATGCCTTTGTTATATCCTGTTTCCTCTTCATGTGGGGAAATTAGCCAGCATTTACTTGCATGTAAGAGAATTGATATTACATATCAGTTTCCTTTTTCTTGATACTTTGTATAGCTTTTGGAAGTTATCTTTCGTTATCCCAGTGCTACTTCGGATCCGTTGCCACATAAACAATCATCAGTTAAAACACTTCTCAGAAGTTAAGTTTTTGTAATTGGTTTATTTTGACGAATCTTTGAATAGCCCTCTTTACTATCGACCATACATTATACCTTTTTTGCATTTGATGTTTAGACCTTTGTTTCTGCTTTCCTTTGATACTTGGGATACAGGTTTCGGTACTGTTAATAACACACTAATCCATTTGTTACTGTAGTATTTTAGGGAAGCGAAATTTGGATGTTCCATCATTTACTGTTAGGGTATTTTCCAATTCGGCGATTTTAATTTTTGAGTACATTATGTGTAATGACCATCTCCCATTGCTATAACATCTTGGATTCGGCCGAGGCGGGTGTGGGGGCTTTATAATTCTCTTTAGCATCAAAAGTCTGGTCGCCTGATAAATGCGTCCAATAGCGCGTAAGAAACTGGTAGTCGTGACCGGTCAGAAGAAAACCTGCCTTTATTGGATGAAATGCAATGCTCTGCCATTTTAGTATTGAGCATTTACTCTTGATATGTGTTTTTAATATAATATTTTGGGTTTTATATTCGTGTGTTATGTATTTATTCTCTGGTATGGAAACGTTACAGACCCGGTAATGTCGAGCACTGTCTTGTAAAATTTATTGTGGAATAAATAGCACACACACCGGAAATAAAAATGAGCTACGTAAGACTCCTTAAATAAAGAACTCCAAGTGAGTCAGGGAGGTCAGTGAAAGTGAGGTAGTCCGCTGTCCAGCTCTCGATTGTCAAGCTCTCTGTCTTCTGGCAGAGGGTTCACTCAGTCGGGGATGTATCTATGAACGGAGACTCGGCTGAGAAAAGTAGACAATGCAAAGTGTCCGAACCTGCGGTTGCGTGGTCTGGGTAAATTTTGATCTTTGCCCGGGTGAACGTGCTTGAGGTCCCCACACTTAAATCGACCATGTGTTATATCTCGTCTCAGGGCGAGTAGTCAAAGCAAAACATAATATTATAACCGCTAGGTGTGAGTTATAACAGTATTACACTCCTGTAGCGGGGAATAATTATTTTCTGCGCTGTTAATTACATATTAATACATTTATTATTCTGTTTTTTTGAGGATATTTTTCCTTCTACGAATATCATATTTATCTATTCTATCCTTTCTTGAATGAGTATTTTTCTCCGGACTAAATGTAGGTAGTGAGTGCATTATGTGTACTTACCAGCTACACTTATTGGAAAATCTAGATTCGACTGAGTTGCTATAAGTGCTCGTATGACCAAAAGACCCCTATCGTCCACCAATAACTGTGTGCAATAGCTCATAATAAACTGACAGCTGTGGCCGGCAAATGAACACATGACTTTCACTTGCTTTGTCCAATTATATTCGACCGTCTCAGAAATTAATCTTCTGACTATGGAAGACAAGATTTTATAAGAATTTTTGAGCGCTACAATTCAAATTAATGCGAGTATGTGCCTGTATGTATGTTGTTTCAAATTTCCTATATCTGTAGGGAAAGAGTGGTTAGTATTGGAGATAGAGAGTTTATAAATAGGGAAAGTGTGAACATAGAAAACAAATGTGCATGCTGTCATTAGCACGCTTTATTAGCATCTTCAGTCCAAATGCTACTACTCCTTTAGTACGATATATATATATATATATATATATATATATATATATATATATATATATTGTAACAGCATAGCTACGGACGATAATGGATATGTCCCCATTCACATAAATACAATAGTAAATGCTGTATGTTGATCTGCTGTTGGAGATTGATCTACAGCTGTGCTAGTCAAGCTCTCTGCCTCCCCAGAAGAGGCTACGTCGAAAGGCAGAGTCTCGTTTCGGGAAACAGCTACTCGACCCCGTTTTATATGAAGTTTACGGGGAATTTTGGACACTATTGTCTTGACTGTCGATTAGTTGTCTGCGATGGACGTTACACCAAGGAAGCGTACGAAAATTGTAATGCAGCACGAATACACCGGCAAGCCTTACCAGTGAGCAAATCAAAGTACCATAGATTGACCCCGATTCCTGATTTAATTCCAATCGAGAATTCGTGGTCAATCTGCAATGAACGACTTCGTCGAATGGGCATACGAAGTACTAACATGCACACTGAGTCATGTTTCATTGGAAAAATATTTTTAAAAAGTACATAATAACGGAATTATTCGTTTTGTATCAATTAATTTGCACAAGGGTGTACTCTGAGCTTTACCGTAATAAAAAAAAAATCAGTATATCCAGATTAAATAATTATATTCCCATCAATGCAAATGATTCGCATGCTCTTTGATTATGACTTTTATCTTTATTTTTTTCGAAAAAATTCGTTTCCTTTTATTGGCTCAGCGGCGTCAATAAAGAGTTTTCTTTTTCATTTGTTTTCTTCTCTTGAAGGTTTTAAGATTCGCTGATGGAAAAGCGAAACAAGTTTCGTTTTTGGACAGGTTTGTTAAGCAAATGACACAGACCTTACACAATCGAAACCTGATTGCAATCACACTTCGCTTATCAGATCTGAAAGACGATTAAGTAGCTGTCTGTTCGATTCGTAAGGAGAAAGATCTGAAGAGAATCTTTACTTACAAAAAAAATGGTCTTTAACTGGAGAGAATAGAAAAGAAAGTCTTCATGAAAGGGCCGAGAGAAAGGCATTGGCAGAAGAGGGAAATGAAGGCGCGAAAGTTGCTGAGAAAAAAAAATAGACGAGGTAGAAAGGAAGGGAAAAAGGTTTCTGTGAAAGGTTTCGAAAACAGAGAAAGTGTAGAACAAAGTCGAGTAAAAAAATGAAAGGAAAGAGTGGGGAAGACGTACGAGAAAATTGGCGGGACAAGGGTCCAGATATAAAGAGCAAAGTTGTTTCGAATGGTGGATTTTGCAGCAAAGAAATTTCTACTGACTCATTTAAAGGTTATTTATGATTCCAATATAATAAATACGTTTCTTCCTCATTTAGCACGCACGTTACGCCATGCCAATACTTCATACCTTTGATCAAATCAAAGTAATATAGACTGGCCTGAAAACTCCTCTGATTTAAATCCAATCGAAAATCTGTGGTCAATCTGCAAGGAAAGACTTTGTGGAATGGATATGCAAAGTAATAACATGTGCACTGGGTCATGTTTCATTGGAAAAATATGAAAAAAGTAATTAATAACGGAATTATTCGTTTTATTTCAATTAATTTTCACAAGGGTGTATGTGATCATGGCTCTCCACATCTTTCTGCATAATTAATTTGCACAAGGGTGTAAATCATTCTGCCTGGAAGTGAATGTCGCGCAGATGGATAAGAGACTTCTAGTCACATATATTCTGTTCTACGCTAAAATAAAATGAAAAGAATACGTGAATACTGTTAAAGTCCTAAGCAACATGGAAACAAGGAAAATGATACTTGCAATCAGAAAGAGGCGGTTATTATGAGGAAAGAAGGCCTAGGAAATTAACACACACAAAACATATGGAACGTAAAAGAAGCGAAAGGAAAGAGGCGAGAAAACTACTTAAAGAATTTGTATGGGAGCATGGCATGTCGTCTGCTGTAAATGTGGGGCTCCTACAACCATTTTGGTTTACGGGTCTAGAATCGTGATAACGGAACAGAGACAAAAATTATTGAAGATAAAAAAAAGGTTACTTAGAACAACAAAAGACAGGAAGTTGTTGGAAGCCACGAACGTCCACGTCCTTAATGGACACACCAAAGGAATGAGGAAAGAAGGTCTACAGTCGAAGCACTAAATGACATATGATGCCCTCATTAATGACAAAATATTTATTTGACGTGTTTATTTTACGTTAAAACTAGGGTTAATTTTTTTTTCAAGTTTATCAAGGAAATAAATTTATTGGCGACAGAGATGGGGTGCCTGAAAAATTAAGTGATGAAGCTGACACAATCGATAAGAATTAGACGACTCATACATTGTTGCATGACAGATTAGTGGTGTGATATAGTCTGTCAGTAATAAGGTAATGTTCTTTTGATAGTTGTCGATAATTTTTGTTTCATGTGTTTTGTTTTATTTTATTTTATTTTTTACTTTGCTTCTTCTCTTATTTGCTGCTAAATTGATTGGACGTCATTCAGAAGAGTAAAAAGTAATTTCTTTTATCTATTTATTACATACTGTTTCGCTGAGCAAATTTACAAGTCCTTAATGAGAGGGAATTATTTTGGCAAATGTGGGTTGAAGAAAATATTCGTCTCCTCTTCTGCACAGACGCCAGTGGGAGGCTTTATAAATATTTGCTAACCTTAGTGTGTATACTTTAATTATTGCGAGCAACTGCTAACATTTTGGTTGTTATAGATGTTACACAGCGATTCGACACCTGATGATGGCAAGGTTACTTGGCCGAAACGTTGTATCTATAATGACATCTATAACCATCAAAAGTACAATAGTTCGAAACAATTCTAATATATTAACAGTTTTGTTTTGCCATGGTTCACTCTGTAGAAGTCCCAAGAGCCACTCGAGGTAGAGTATCACAGAGTATGAGGTACCACCCCAAGCAATTTTGATAATGCCACCATGATGCAAGGGGACACCGGAAGTGAAAGAGAAGGAAAATACTTTCACTTGAACCGGAAGCACAATCCTAAGCAGGAATAAATGGGGTAAATCTCTGTTAAACATCAAAAGACCGTGGAGCAGTGTGAACTGGAAGATAGACACATCTATCTGCTCCTATTGAGAGGGGAAATGTAAATAAATAACAAATAAAAGTTCAGTGTAAGTTGGAATGAGGTATTTTTGGTCTTATGTAGTTTATAGTTTTCATTAAAGACATCCCCAATGAAATCAGCTTTGATCCGATTCGTTTTATCGGCCTCCCACGAAGAACGTCACAGTAAGCAAGACCCTATTTTCCCTTAATAGGAATAATAAATACTTACTTTGACCTTATTAAATTATTTTAATAGAGAGGATATATAAATTACAGCCGACATTATCTCACGCGGTTCGGTCAATGAAGGTCGAACGTTTCCTTATGGAGGGGACGCCTAATATTACTATAACTATTATCTTTACCAAATATATTTATTTGCATTCATTTATCAATATGTATATTTCTATATGTGTATATTGAATACAAAACACCCCCACTAAAACAAGTTTTATCAATATGTTTTAACAGATGTAACAATAGCCTGAATTTTGTTTATACATATGAGAATTTCATGAAAGTTTTACGATGAAAACATTGCATATCAAAACCATGGTATACACATAATATAGTAAGTAACGTTAAACGTTTTACGGTTTCCCTCGACAGACCAGAATATGACAATAAACTCGATTCTCCAGGAAGGTGTCTGATTCGGAGATTGGTGGTTTTGAGAAGCGTAGAACCATCTCTTAATGGCTGTTGTTCCCAGGTCCACCCTGACCGGGGTGGTAGCATCTGTTAGGGTCCCAGATATAGGCAAATAGTGAACTCCCAATCAAAAATAAAACACTTTGAAAGTACAGGGTGACCTAAAAAATGGGAACTTTTTAACAATCCAATAAAACCAAGAGTGATGGAAGAAAAATATTTTATTCATAGTAATTAAAACCTTAAAACATGCCATTTAAGAAAAAATGATGGAATTTTCATTTTTTTTAAAATTACGTCCAGTAGATGGCGTCTTCCTGTACGAATGCATTTTTGAAATCTGCTGTTGAGATTCCTCATTGACTGTTGCAACATCTAAGCTGGGATACTGTGAATTTCATCTTGAATTCTAAAATGGCAAAATGTTTACTTGCTCAAGGTCACTGTCTCGCAGTGTTGCCACTTGCTCATGTCTGGCAATACGCACTTCAAAAATTCCCGTTTTTTGGGGTCACCCTGTATAAAAATATTATACTAAAATGTATAAAATAAAAATTAAAAAAGTAAATGTATAACAAATTTATACTAAATTTTATACTAAATTTTATTTTCAAATGACCCACAATATATATTTATAGGAAAATGACGAGCAAAAAAAATTTTAAAACAAAATGACCAGCTGTACATTTTATAGTAAAACCTTTTTATATCAAAATGACCAAAAATACTTTTTATCTGTAGTTCAAGGTATGCAATTGTGTTCAAAATATATTTAGTTGAAGCCAAAAAATGGTGTCCAAAATATTTAGATTTCGGCATTAAATAACCTAAAGAGGTGTTGATATGCCGCACAGCAAAATCAACCAACGTTGCCCTCAAGGAGACCAGTCCTTTGCTTCTAGTTCTCAACTGAGTTTTATTTTCAACAGCGGTCAACTTTATAGTTCGATAGTTCGATGATCTCTGCGAAGCTCCTTTCATTTCTATAATGTGAACATTATCTCACTCAATAACTTTGTAATCTTCTGTTTTTCAGCATTTGTTACATATATTCCATTACACATGTTTCAGCATAAATTATAGAAAACAAAAAAAAGAAGAATTTTTATTATATTTCAGAGGTCTAAATTAATATTAGATTAATCTGCATACTAACGTCAGAGTGTAGTTTTTATAATAAATCCAATAATTTTAAGAAAATATGTTAAAACTAAAAAACAAATTAATTAAGATTTGTTTTGACTTCTAAATTAATCGTTTAAAATTTAACAAAAGGTTTTCCATACAAATTCGAGTTACTGGGGTTTAGGTCATTTGGATAAATAACTTCAGACGGACTGGAGATAGATAGATAGATAGATAGATAGATAGATAGATAGATAGATAGATAGATAGATAGATAGATCTGAGCAGACTTAGTAGATAGATAGATAGATAGATATGAACAGACTTGATAGATAGATAGATAGATAGATAGATAGATAGATAGATATGAATAGACTTAGATATGAACAGACTTAGTAGATAGATAAATAGATAGATAGATAGATAGATAGATAGATAGATAGATAGATAGATAGATGAATATGAATAGACAGATATGAACAGACTTAGATAGATAGATAGATAGATAGATAGATAGATAGATAGATAGATATGAATAGACTTAGATATGAACAGACTTAGATATGAACAGACTTAGATATGAACAGACTTAGATAGATAGATAGATAGATAGATAGATAGATATGAGCAGGTTTACAACGCATGTTAGAGAAAATATTCCACGTATTTACAGTTTGTAATTAACGTCGTTAAAAGGTAAACATCGTTGTTTTTGTTGGAATTAATTTCCCATAATTAGCCACAATCTTTTGTAATTAGAACAGATGATCATCGTGCAGGATTGGCCGCACACACTCGTAACGAGAAGTCCTGCCCATCACGTACAACGCATTCTCATTTACGCGCCTCTGTTCATTTCTTTCTGCGTCTGTGTTTGTGCGACCTTCCGATCTGAGACAATGAACGTGTGTTTTTTTTTTGGTTTTTTTTTTGTCTTTTTTTTTCGAGTTGGGTAGAGGACAATGTACAAACACGAGTCTTCAAAAGAAATTATTGTTCAATTTAATTAAAGGAACCGCGTTTCTCATTATGGCAAAGAAAAAAATAATAAAAGCAAAACAATCCTTTCAAATGTAACGTCATGTATATTTATTTGTCGTGAACATAATCAGAGAAGTTACCAAAGGCAAAAATTTCAGATTTATATATCATAAATATATCCAGAAAATAGTTTTATTTTTCGTTAGGTTTTTTTCAGGTCAAATCTCTTCAGGATCGGTTGATTTGTTTTTAGTCTTTAAGGCAAATGAATCCGTTTATTTAAAACTGAAAAAAAAATATTTGTCTTTCATGTAGATTGTATAACAACGAAAGCGAAAGAATCAGTTTGCCCTGCTGTTAATCTCGTGGAGATCTGGGTGGGGGTAGAGAAGAGATGAATTCAGAATTTTTCCAAAGGGGACCGTGTGGAAGCGAACGTAACGTCCCCGACTCAAATTCAAACTGGAGATACCCTTCCCAGTTCTGGATTGATAACCTCTACTCTACGAGCATACCCTAGAAATAAAGTGATAATTATATCTGATATGTATTTTACATGTATCTATGCAGTCAACTTGATATGTTTGAGAGTTTTTCTTGTTTTTTTTGTTTCTTTTTTTTTACCGCAAAGAGCAGTTCTAGATAAAGCAAAATTTCAAATTGCAAGGATAGTTCATGGTTAAAATTGACAGAAGAAAATCCCCCCACTTCTATTTCGAACAAATGTTTATTTTGCACGTCAAATACAGGGTGTCCATAAAGTTCGTGTACATTTTAAAAAATTTATAACTTTATTTGTATTTGCGATATAAATAATTTGTAAAAAGGATTAAAAAGAAGTAAATCTATATTTTGTAAGGTTTTATTGAAATTTTAAGTTTCCACATGTCCTCCATCATAAGCAATACAAAGGGAAATACGATTTTGCAGTTCACGGAAAACATTTGCCAACTGATTTGCAGTAATGCCTGAAATCACATTAGTTATTTTAGCTATACTTAAAACTAGGTACATTAAACTTTATAACATTTTTTACAGATTATTTCTATCGCAAATACAAATAAAGTTATAAATTTTAAACTTAAACACGAATTTTGTGGACACCCCATATAAACCTATATATATATATATATATATATATATATATATATATATATATATATATATAATTATATGAATCATTCATATAAAAACAAATATAGAGTTAACCTCTATATTTGCTTTTTATATGAATGATTCATCTAATTATAAATTGAACTGCACCTATAGTCGAAATTATATATATATATATATATATATATATATATATATATATATATATATATATATATATATATATGTATGTATACCTTGTGCAAATTAATTGAAACAAAACGAATAATTCTGTTTTAGTTTACTTTTTTCCGTAATTTTCCAATGAAACATGACAGTATTTCGTATGTCAATTCCACGAATTCTTTCCTCGCAGCTTGTCCACAGATTTTCGATTGGATTTAAACCAGAAGAGTTTCCAAACCAGTCGATAGTACTTTAATTTACTCACTGATAAGGCTTGCCAGTGTAGCGTTACAATTTTCGTCCGCTTCCTTGGAGTAACGTCCATCGCAGACAATGGCCATGGGACAACTAATCGGCGGTCGAGACAATAGTGTCTGGGTGTGATAAAAATCTGATGCAATGACGGATGACGCAATATTATTCAAGGCCAAATAAATTTCATCATACACCCAGAAAATAGAATCACACCACTGCAAATGACCTCATCTGAGGGAAAATCGAAATAGATTACATCCTATCATTCCAGGGGGTGTAAAACTGACATCTTGGTGAAAGAAAGGAAACTAAAGCTGTTGTTTCAATTAATTTGCACAAGGGTATAATTCTGTTTCGGCGAATGAATAACAGTTTTTCAATATCGTTTTCCAATTCCACTCTGTACTGCTGGTGGGGAGGTGGTTTTATAATTTTTCCAGAGGTATTTGCGCGTAATATTTGCGCTTTCTGCAAATTTTTGTCCACTGGGGCAGATTGTTCTAGTTCCACGTACCGTGCCTCTTACTGATATTTCAGTATCGGATGACCCTAGTATCAGTTATATCCCTTTAACTCAACAAATGTTTGATCACCTTTTTGTAGCCAGGTATTGAACTCAAATCTCTTTGGGTCAAATCATTGAATTCAAAAAACACTTTTTATCCGTCGGGCCATGTGACCTTGAGGACATCAGTATTTTAATTTTTAAAAATAATGTCTCACTAAAAACTTTTTACCAGAGCTCATATTAGAATTTTGTTATTATTGTTTTTTTTTGTTTGTTTGCTTGTTTTTTTTTTGTTTTGTTTTTTTTTTTCCTAGCACGGAAAACCGGTAATTAATTAATAGTTTAGGGTAATCTATTCATGATGTGTTGAGATTTCTAGCAATTTTTCAGGATCATAATATCCGGCATTCTCCTCCTCCTCCTCCACCAACTCCTCTCCCTCCTCCTCCTCCTCCTTCTCCTCCTCCTCCTCCTTATTTTTCTTCTCTTCCTCCTCCTCCTTTTTCTTCTTCTCCTCCTTTTTCTCCTTCTCCTCCTCCCCCTGCTTGTTCTTCTTCTTCTTCTTCTTCTTCTTCTTCTTCTTCTTTCATATGCTCTATCCTTTCAAGATGCAAGCGATCATGGGTTTCTACAAACATTTTCGTAACTCGAACGTGGTACTCCTGACTAACAAATGTTATTAATCATTGCCGATAGTGAGTCACTTTACTGATTTTTTTTTTTTAAAGGTTTACCAGTATTTTTTTTGGGTGGGGGAGGTTATTTAAAGCAGAAATATATTTTGGATTTTAAGCATATATATATATATATATATATATATATATATATATATATATATATTTACCATTAAACATTGCAGTATATATTTTCGGAGATAACAATGTTTTTTGTTGTTGTTTTATTTCTTCAGATACAACTTCTACAATTTAATCTATAAATTTGGGACGAGAAAAGAAGCGGGTTCATAGCTTTCTCAATGACATTTGTGGGTAATGTAAAGAACTCAACGAGAATTCGATAGTTAAATAAAAATCAATTCAATTTTCTATATATTACACCACCGGCACCTCTAAAAATCGAATTACGCCCGTTTAAACAGAATTTTATATACGACCTATTAAATGTTCTTATTTTCGCGATTAGCGACGCTTTATGATAGATCTCCTTGCTTATGTACCAAGATGATATTATTTAATATCTCCTCTTATACATAAAAGAGGGGAGTGCGTAGCGGTTATCAGTGAAGAAATTATCCATATTGGGAGATTCCTTGCTATATTGCATAGCTGCTGTTATTCAAGCGAAAGAGAGAGTTATATGTTCTTTGATAGAAGCCTAAATTTTTTGTCACATCACTTGACGAATGCTGTTCTTGTTGCGACATGTTAATCAAAGAGATTTATTAGTAGTCCATCTTCACCGACTAAGGACAATCAGTTATGTGCCATGCGTGATAAACGCTTAGGCAATCATGTATCTTTCTGACCAGGCAGATTTTTCTCGCAGAAGGTTGCTACGTTAGACCAGTTGCCATCCAAGGCTATAGAACCCGGTCTGTTCTGCTATTTACCCACAGCTGAGGGAAGAATACGACGATTCATATCTTTTCCAAGGGAATTAGCACGTAAGTGAATTTAATGGATTCGAATGGAATTCGAACTCGGCTCGCCGATTCCCTCAATCTGAGCCGTTATCCATCAATTCACCGTGCAGACTAAGGTAAGATTTGTAAATATCTATATATCGGCTTTCATACTTACTATGTAAATAAAGTCCGTTTTTGTAACCTTCATACTTATCTCTTCCCAGATAATATGAAGTTGTTCAAACGCTCTTGCCATTTTTAGAAAAAATGTCTCAAGGCTGACAACTAACCTTCCGACCCGGAAAAAAAGAAAGTAAAAAAAAAAGAATATCGTCTCTATAAATTTATAATTCTTAGTTTCTTTCTCAGTCTACCTTTTTCTTTTTTCCTTTTTTTTTTTTTTTCGCTTTACGTTCTCTTTCACTTTTCTCGTCTGCTTTTCTCTTTCCATTTTCTCAAATTAATCATCCGACATTGAAATTTTGCGCTTGTACAATCTGCTATTGAAAGCAACAACTCTGAGTGCATATATGCTAATTAGGTTTATCTATATGCATATATATACACGGTATATATGAGGTCGGTGCAGAAATGCTCCCAGCGCCTTTCTTTTGCCTTGTGTTAGACGAATCGTAAAAGTTTCTTTGAAATTTACAATTTCTGCACTCAGCCAGTTGTTGTTAGAAATTAGTACCGTGTGCAATCTGGTCAACTAAAGTACACCGTTTACATAGCATTAAAAAGAAAATAAAACAACCTAGAAAGAAAGTCAGTATTTAAAAACCTGTATTTTTCTTCCCGTCCTGTCGGTTGGGACTTCAGAATATGCTGACTGCACCTCTGCAAAAGGGTACCCCCTAAACGCCACCACAAATGAGGCGTCATGGGAAAAACAATAAAATAAAACCGCGTCCTGGGTTAAGACGATAAACTAGATCCAACAGCAAGGTCTCTGATCGGGAGGTTTTGAGGAGCGTGGAACCACCTCTTAATTGCTGGCCTTCCAGGTCCGCGCTGACCCGGGGTGGTTGCACCTGTTAGGGTTCCGGCTATGAGCAAAGAGTTAACCACCCCCCAAACTAGGATTAAAACGCGTAAAAATAGGTTTTATTACAATATTACCAGCAGTACATTTCTGAAAAAACAATATTACCAGCAATACATTTCTGAAAAATCAATATTACCAGCAATACATTTCTGAAAAATCAATATTACCAGCAATACATTTCTGAAAAAACAATATTACCAGCAGTAAATTTCTGAAAAAACAATATTACCAGCAATACATTTCTGAAAAATCAATATTACCAGCAATACATTTCTGAAAAAACAATATTACCAGCAGTACATTTCTGAAAAAACAATATTACCAGCAATACATTTCTGAAAAATCAATATTACCAGCAATACATTTCTGAAAAATCAATAATACCAGCAATACATTTTTGGGAAAAAAAAACTATTAGCAACAATACATTTTTGAAGGAAAAAAATATTAGCAGCAACATATTTTTGGAAAAAAAATATTACCAGCAATAAAATTTTTCTCAGCATTAAGTAACCCATTGAGGTTAATATGCCGTATAACAAAACAAACCAACCCAATATATTTTTCTTACGTGACACAGAAAACCAGAGGAGTACTGAAATAGAAAATGTTTCTATTGAAAAGCTAAGCAATGTGTTAAGAAATAGGAACATTCCTTTAGAAACAGATACAAGTGATATGTAATATCAGTTCTTCTATACGGCTGCAAATACTGGATGAGTTCTTAAGACATTAACAGATAATTTAATGCAACAGAGATGTTCTACAGAATGATACGGAGAATATGGTGGATTGAACATGTGAATAGAGAGAAAGTTTTAATAGAAATGAAAGCTAAAACTGATAAATATGCTTAATAATCAAAAATCGGCAATTGAATTTTCTTGGACAGATAATGAGGAAAAGGATTTGGAAAATTAACACTCACAAGAATATAATGAAGGCAAGGGACTTAGAAGGAAAACTCTAGTACTCTACCTAACGTGGTTGTGAAAAAAATGACAGAGCAAGACTGCGAGGGAGCACATAAGGACAAACATTGTTTAAGTTTACAAAACATAGGAAATTGTAGAGAAGAAAAATGACCAGCCGCTTCCTGAAGGAAACGTTACATAACAGGTGAAAGATTACCTTTTCCTATTGGAAATTATCATTTTCAAAACAGATAATAACTGGCTGTAAAAAAGGGGACCTTTACAAAGAAAATTGTCGCTAAATCCTGAATAGTCCCTAGAGGGAACAACTAGAGAAATTAGTTAATTTTTATGCTTGTTTGGGTTCAATGTGTATTCTTTCGAACTAATAACTAGAAGCAGGAAAATTGACGGTAAAGTGTTATATATATATATATATATATATATATATATATGTATATTTATGCAGCAATTTTTCATTAAGTAAGCTTTCGGCTTACATAAGCCATTATCAAAGATGGCAATTACTTTTCAATATATCAACCAATACACGGATGAAACAATAATGATAGTCTGTTTTTGTTGCATGAAAAGTTTCAAAGCAATGACTAACTCGTGTATACGAGACGCAGCAGCGAAAATCGCGTAGCACCTCGTGGCGTCACACATGGCCACGCGAGTGTGCAAACGAGAAGTATTAAGTAGGGCTTCTGTTATCAATTATAGGCATTTAAGAATATTTATGGAGATTTCGTAGTTTATTTTGTCCAGGTTAGGTTTCAATTCAAGATTTAGTCGTTGCTTTGATTGGATTTAAACATGCATCAATATGGTGATTTCCTTTCGTCTTTCAATGATAATGTTATTAAGTTTATCAGACAATATGAAAGGAACTTACTTAAAATAAATAGACAAAACTTGTCTATATTATTTACTGAAACATGCATTAATATATATATATATATAAATATATATATATATATATATATATATATATATATATATATATATATATATATATATAACGAGTGTAAAAGCAAAATTATCTTCATCTTTATTGTCATATTCCTGACGTTTCGGCCGTTGTACGCTCCGGCTTCTTCAGGATTTGTCTATATTTCAGAAATGAGGTATTGTAATTATTTACATTATTTACATCGTTCGAACTGTTGTCTTCATCGTTATTGTCATCTTCATGACGATTCGGACGTTGTACGCTACGACTTATTTCAGGATCTGTCTATATTTCTGAGATGATGTATTGTAATTATGCACATTGTTCGGACAGTTGTCCTCATCTCATATGGATGCTAAAATGAGGTCACCACGCCCCTGTGGGATGAGGTTGAAATAATAGACTGAGAAAGACAATGGAAAGTACGAAAACTTAAGGAATCAGCACATTAGCTGGGCGACAAAAATCTCCTGAGCCTACCGACCATAGAAATGAATACAATATGGTAACCAGTAAAACGAAGTGTTAGAGCAAAGCAATAATAACAATAACGTTACAATATAAGCTTTGGTAAAAAAAATCCACTGAGATATTAAGTTCCAAAAATTCATACAGGAAGTTGAGGAGAGCCATGGAAGCCTATAACCTGAAGAGACGCAACAAACAAAAGAAGAATTTGCGTTAGTTAGATAAAACGTAATTCCCGTTAATTATATGAACACTTGAATTTTGCTTTAAATATATCGTTTTAGAAATTAGATTTTAACAGCAACTCAAACTTTATTTATTCATTTATATATATATATATATATATATATGAAATATATAAAACATATATCACTATATATATATATATATATATATATATATATATATATATAGTGATGCATGTTTCATTAAAAAATATAGACAAGTTTTGTTTATTTAGAGTAAATTTCTTTCATATTGTCTGATAAGCTTAATAACATTATCATTGAAAAATGAAAGAAAAACATCATATTGATACATGGTTTTTAATCGTATCTAAGCTTTCGGCTTACATAAGCCATTATCAAAGATGACAATTACATTTCAATATATTAAACAATACACGGACAAAACAATAACACCGCAGCTCATGTCGTCATACGTGATAACGCGAGAGTGAAAACGAGAAGTATTAAGTATCGGCATTTAAGAATATTTGTGGAGATTTCATAGTTTATTTTGTTCAGATTAGGTTTCAACTATTTTACGTATATTGCTTCAAGAATTTTTTGTTTTTGTTCATTGTTTTCATGTTTAAGTATAATTGTGTTTTCAACAAGGATTTTCCGGAAGTGTTTATGCGGCCAGGAATGTTGTTTTAAATACCTAAAAATATTAGAGTGATCATTCAAATGTAGTGTCAAGCGTCGCAAAACCGAGTTTGTGGTGTGACCAACATAAATATTATTTAATTCGTTGGAGATACAATCTCCCAAAGGGCACCTGAATTTGTAAACTATATTGTTTTTTAGCAAATCGCTAATATATATATATATATATATATATATATATATATATATATATATATATATGTATGTATGTATTGGTCATCTCAGAAAATTTACTTCGAGAAGAATGATTAATCAGTTCACTGATAACAGTGCAATTTGAAAACATACTATAAATGTAAGTGCCCATTTCTAATTTCTATCAGATTTTGGTTAAAAACAAAAAGAGACTCTACGAAAATCGATTAAAAACTCTGGGTTCTTCAATCAAACTTGTTAC